CAGAAAAATGGAGTCTTTTTATCTGTTGTTGCCTTTTGTTGAGGGAGAGTACAGCAGAAGGCCAAAATATTCTATCTGAAATACTAAATGCTATGCAAATGTCCTGCCTTCTGTGGCCACAGGTGATTTCCATTGAAATGGAGAGGAATTATTCAGTTGTAAAGCCGTGTAGCTCACTTGGTTGACTGCACCCTTGTAGGTTCGAGTGTGAAATAGTAGATGCTCTGAAAAGGGTGGATTCTTGGCTCAAGGAAGCTTGGAGTACTTGGAATTATTCAAATTACTGGTCAGGTGACACGCATCTGTAGGCAAGTTCACGCAGTGTTACAGCTGTAACTTTGAGCCTTCTTTCCAAATCTGAGGATTTGTCCAAATGATTCAGTCCTCCCTTCCTTATAGTGGTAGAATTGCCAAAATAATGACAGGACAAGGGAGCAAAGGTCAGTCCGGGAGCAGGAGACCACCTTTTTCCTGCCTGCAGCCCCAGGGTTTGAAAGGATACAGGTGCTAAAGAGAACCATATAATAGAGGTATTAAGCATTCCTACGTTGTAGGATACAGTGCTAAGAGAGAGAAAAGAAACAACCAAAACCAACCCCACAGAGCAGGTTACAGAAGACAAGTTTACAAGGTCAGAATTTCATATTAAGGGCACATTGTTCAAAACCAAAAAAAAAATGAAAGTTTCTCTTTTATTAAAGGTTAACACATCTCTGGTTTGAAAAATGAACCCCAAAATTATTGTTTGCACATGGGTACAAAGTATTTTGCATCAAGAATACTCAAAACAACCAACAGAAATTAGGTTGAGGGGAAAAAAAAGCAGTAGTGAAATGATTCTGAAAATTTCTAACTTCAGTTTATGTTAATTTTTTAATCATTTGATGGGATTGCTATGTCTTTTTTAATTTACCAGTCAAAATTAAATAGCATAGTGATCACTTCTCAGGTCTCCTGGACAAGAGTACTCCAATATTCAAAGACAACAGGACTCTCTTTTTTTCTATACTGATCTTCAAAAATATTTGCTCATTTTGTCTGCTAAGTCAAGGCACCTCAGGTACAAAAGATGCTTACAAATATCCTAAAAGAAGACCAAATCCAGTCAGGAAAAAAAAAAAAAAAACGAACTCTAAATTGAAAGAGTTTTCTCAGTTTCAGAGGTCAACCACAGTGGTGGTAAAGCAACCAGAGGATGCTGCATTCATGAAAGATTACAAATGTTTAATATGCAGAAGAATTTTCCTACTGAATGCACAGGGATGAAGATGGAGACAGGTAGTGACTTGGTCTATGTAAAAAGCAGCAGAGTCCCGTGCTAGGATGTTGACAGGGCACCCAGAAGCCCAGGGCAATGCTCTGCCCAGGTTCCCAGGCATGAGAGCTCACAATAAAATTCAAGTCAGCCCTCTCATTCTCTCACCATACATCTCCCTGGCTGACAATAAAGAACAGGTCTGTCTAGCTGTAATATATTATTGTGTAATTTTCCCACAATACCAGACACAGGTCAACTCTGGAACAAATTATTCCAGAACAGCATTGATTGTTTGGGTCCATGGACTAAACTCCAATAACATACTCATATACAGGAAAATCCCCTGTATTAAACAGATAACCCAGATTCACCCTAAGTGCCTAATTTGCCCACGTGCTCGATTTGGCTTCTAGTCCTCCCATTTTCATGAATATTCAGTTCAGCTTCTTAGTAGGGCTCAGGGTGCTGCTGGAGTCCTGTAGCTTTATTATGCAATGAACAAACACGAGGGAGTGATATTAGATATTGATCCAGGACTATGGGTATCAGCTGCAGCCCTGCTCCCCAAGCATGCCATCAGCACAAGCTTCCTTCACCAGGCAGTTCTGACCAGCAACCATCTGAAGGCCATAAAACCTTCTCTCCTCATTCCAAAACTGACATCTCCCAGGGCTCAAAACTGTTTCCTTTACCCTGGAAAGTTTCCAGAGATGTTCTAGAGAACAGTGAGCTATTACTCAGGGACTATTCTCATCTGTTGATCTTTGCTCTTTAATAAAGAAAGAGCAGCTTGGGCAGCACCCAGGGCCACTGTGCACTTCCTGCTATTCTGACACAATTATATTGCAGATGCTGCAATTCCACACAAGCTGAATATTCAACCCTTACTGCTTCTGGCTTTTTAATAATAGACACCTTTCAGAAAACCCTTGTTATCTCCAGTTTAACATCTCAGACTTGCTGACAAGAAAGAACTGGGAGGAATTCATTTGGAAAGACTCACTAGAACAAAAATTGTTCAATGGAGGCCCCCAGCTGCAGGCTGTCATGCATGTTGAAGTCATCACATACTCATCATGACATTTGAACACTGCATTCAACTGTAATCAGTCTTTATACAGCATAAGAACTATAATTATAAAGTGATTTTGACATCAGAAATGGCATTGCAGTACCTCACTTAAAAATACCCACCCTGAAAATAGGATGCTAAGCCTTGTGTTTAGCAGAGGGACAGTAAGTTGGGCGTGAAATCAGACTCTGACAAGGAGAAACCCAGTCTGGCAAGAGACTTAGCTATCAAAAATAAGGATTAAATGTATGTTGAATTCTGTGCTCTCCGGCATTTCAGCACCTTGCCCTTGGCTTTTCCTTGGACCAAAGATCTGGAACTCTTTCCTAGAAATTTTGAATGCTGCCTCTTCTCCTAAAGGGAGTAAGGGAAGAAAGGGTAGAGGCAGGATGGATTGTCAAACAGCAAGCACCATGCAGTGAGCGTGGGCCAGGACTGAGGCATGTGTCAGGCTGTGCAGAACTGAGACATGATTCAGCTTCTTCTTCCTATTTAAAACACTTCTGACTTCTCAAGACTATTTTCTGCCAGCAGGTCTCTGACGGGAAGGTAAGAGAGGCAGCGCTGATATTCAACATCCGCTCTCAGAAGCGGTGCTTCTGTGACCCAGAGCTATCCTACAACATAATTCTTCTCTGTCCACAATTCAGCTGAATTACTGTAAAAGCAGGACCAAAGCTCTCCCTTTTCCTTGTTACACACGTCAGGCACCAGGTATTTTTATTCATCCCCACAAATTAAATATTTTCTCCTGAAAAGGTCAAAATGTCAGCTACTCGTAAACCTGTAAGCACCTACGTAATGATAAAAAATATTTTAAGGCTGCTCAGCCAAGCACAAACAGCTGTGATACCAACAGACAAGACAATAAATCTATTTTCACAAGCTGACTGGGCACGGTAAAGCAAAATATAGTCATGGCCGGAAAAGGAGTTCCTCTCTTAGGAATAAAAACATTAATTTATTTTGATTTCGATATACGTATGCATCTCATGTAATCTAACAAAAACTGCAAAAGACATTTTTGTTATGTGCTTGGGTGCCTGTTAGTGAGTGAGAGGGTGCCAGGTTCCATTTTCCTCATCTATTACAAGTAAGTGCTTAAATGACTATGCCTGCAGCTGGTAACTTTTCACATAATCAAGTGTGGTTCGAAGCAGGTCATGGTCAGCCAAGGCAATGCACTTTTTAAACATCCAAAAGGTAAGAGTAATTTCTTCCCTTTCCATCTCTGTTATGGTTCTATTAAAATAAACTAAATATTTTCACCTCATGTTTAAATTCAAATCAGCACAACTGACTCACCTGAAAGATAATGTCACGACATGTATTACAGCAGAACATCTTATGATGGTAACCCTTGTGAGAGGTTATATTGAAATATCACAAAGAAATAGTCAACCTAAAGTATCTCCTGGCATTGAAGAAAAAAATCTATACCTACAATACAATTCTGGGGAAGGGTTCAAAGACCTTCTTTAAAAAACAGATAATTCCTATGAAATATGCACATTTCTAATGTAATTTATGTAGGAAACCTTATTGGTTTCTTTCCTGTTAAATGCCATAGGACTCTTCATAATGGAATTAACTTCAGAAGAAAAAAAAATTTAAATTTATTTAAAGCCATGAATTAATAAAACCATTTTCTGACCTACATTTGAAAAGGACAGGACCAGCCTAAAATGAAAACAACTCCTCTGAGATTTTGTAACTCCTTTGGAAGTTTGACAGCTTGCTTAACTAGACCTACAACATCAGACACAAAATTCAACTCAGACTCACATCTTATTCACACAAACTTTAGAGTGTCCAATATATTGAAACAATACTACATTCAATTTTGTCTTCTGGAAAAGTGAGTATAAAATAAAAGTATTCAAACAACTGTGTGCACTTACAAATAAATTAAAATGCAGCACTGGTTCTGCTACAATTCGTAGAAAGTCTCCAAAACAACGGTTTCTACATTGAAAAGAACTTAATATATGCAGTAATCCTAAAAGTCACTATTTAATCAAGTATAGGGAAAGAGGTGAAACTTGAAAGCTCTCAAAACAAGCTCTGCAAATCAGTTTAACAACTCCTGTTAATCCAGAGATTAACAGATTTGACAAATGAGGTTTGCATTGCATTTACGTCTCCAGTGAAAAGAAAAATGACAGTGAAAAGTAAAGCCCCGAATATCTTAGATGAATTATTTTAATCTGCAGGGTGAACAACCATTAACAAAGCAGTTATACTTCATTCTGGAAAAATCTCAAGACAATAAATAATATTTCTGAAGAACAACAGCACCCATCTCTATTCCAACTAAAATTTCCAGCCTCTTCATTATATTCTTTTATAAATATAGGTTATATAAACCCGTATATTTAAAAAATATAGCGTATTTATTTTCACACACTCTCATTTGCAAGACATTAATATGCAAGTCCTATGCTAAACACCCTGATAGTGAGGTAAAAGTGTGGCAGATATGGTAAAGTACCCTTATCTAAAAATGTTAAGCTGACACAGCCAGTGTGGGGACACAGGACTGACAGTCAATCGCTTCATGCTGTAAAAGTCCAGTCCTACTTACAAAGGGCAAGTTCTTCTGAGACATTCCTGCTTGGAGTGTGTGTGGAGATTCTTGCCCTGGGAGGGGATGGCCCTCAAAGTTACTCCTCAAGGACGAGTGGAAGAGATTTACCCATGGTCGTTGGTCTTGGTGAGTAACATCAACCTCTATTTAATAATTCGGTTTTTTGCTAGTTTTAATATAATTGCTTTGATGTAGTACACTATACTATACTAGTCATTTTAGTTTCTATACTGGGCAGTAAATAATTCTGATTAAGATCTTTCGTCCAATCATTTTTCATAATGAATCACTCATTTTGATTTGCCATCCTTAATCCTGTGGGACAAAGTTGTGCAAAGGTTCAGTTACACCTCTGTAACTCCTTAGACTTAAACCGTGGACAAAGTCTGGGGTTAATATTGGATCCAGCTGCACACAAGCTCCTCTCTGAGAAGATCCTGGTTATATTCAAATGTAATGTTGTAACATTTCTGTAAAATCTGCAGTTAACGATGGACACCTGAAAGTGATGTTATTATCAGAGTAAATCATCTTATCATAATTAGGAATTTCCCTGTAAAAGTGTTTCACATGGATGAGTATTGGCATTTATGTCTTATTGGTTTCACCAGGAATGGATCTTACTGTAAATGTTACAGAGACAGTGGATACAAGATTTTATTCCTGTGGAAACATAAGGACTAGGGAATATAATTATTTAGGAGGGGAAAGTTAAATCTTCCTTTCATCACTTGTAATTCTTCACTCAGAGTAATAGCTTCTATTCTTATGGTCCTGGCATTTTACATAACATGGGAGTCAGCTATCCTGTCATTCCAAGATGTATAAACACAAGCTATTTAACATTAAGCAGGATGCTAAGCAAAGAAGATGGCATTCTGCAAATATTAAATTTCAGGGTAATTTATCACCACCTTCCACCCTGTGGATGCACATCAATGCAAAGTTACAGTGAAACTTCCCGAATATCATGAAGGAAAGCACTGGCCTTGGAAGCTTTAACATTGTAAAAATCAACTACTACCAAGCAGAATTATTCTTCAGTACTGCTAAATTAATGCCTTTACAAAGCATGTACCTCTGTACTTGAGGATTTTAGGTGGCAGACAGAAGAAAACACAGAATTTCTCAAGCTTGTGGGGGCTTTTACATCTTGCTATCACTTGGTGCACATGTTATTCCCCATCAGAAGGTATGAAGCTTTTTAATATGCTCAGTTTTAAGCCAGAAAAGCACATTCTTCATGTTCTAAACATGTTTGTGGAAGATGTAGTGTGTAAATAGACCACAAGAAGCTTAATAGAAAAAAACCCAAATCAACCCAAAACATAGCCCACCAAGTAGATATTACTAAAAATAAAAAAATACATACATTTACCCTAATGGTTGCTTTAATGATATGAGATCTGTGCACTGTTCATACTTAACAGTAGGTCTTATATCATGAGGACACTTCATTTTGTGGAACAATAAGCAGAGTTCTGGGATCTTGTTCATTACAAACTTGTTTTTTGCTCAAATAATCAGCTGTCAGCTTTTAGAATTACATGTTGGAATAGAGATAGAAGCTGTTCTTCAAATATCTTGACACAATTCCTAAGACACTCAGAAACATCTGTGCTCAAATGATACACTGACTATTTGCTTGTCATTAAATTTTGTCACAGATAATCAGATATATAATAGTACTGTATTGCTCCTCTTCTGTTTCTTTCATACGAATTTATATTTTCATGGTTGAAACAAACTTCCATTGCTATTTTTCCAAGTCACGTCTTGGCTTTCTGGTGTGTACTCACCAGCATCCCTCTTGGTTTGCTTTAATTTGTGCTCTTAACAGCACCCAACAGAAGATGTGCTGCTATGACAGCACTTGTCATAACATCACACTTGACAATCATCTGGGGAAGGGGGGGAGAGAGAAAGATGGTAGGATGCAGAGATTCCCTTACAAGATTTGTACATTTCTATGTCGAGCACTGAATATAAATATATTCCAAACCTTATTTAGAAAACTATTTTTAAAAAGGCACCTGGCTGAAAATGTTGTGGAAGATCATTTTCTATTTATACAGGATATCAATCACACTGCCTTGGAAGACACTGGGGCATCCTTCCCATTCACCTGATGCACAGCTACCACCTTATGAGTACAGGTTATATCTGTGAGATCAGCCTCTGGTTTTACAAATTCCTTAAAAAAGTAGCACCTCTCACCTCGGCAATCCAGTTGCAATTCTTCTGCTAACATAGCTATTAAATACCAGGTGAAATTTAGTCATTGACAAGTCAAAAACTAAAACTGGAGATAAATAGGAAGCATAACAGCAGTAATGAAAACATATCTCAGTAAGCCAATAGTAGAAACATTTTGCAACAAGCAGTTAAAAAGACAAATAGAATTTATCCTCCATAACAGGCTTATTGTACTTTGTTATTTTTCTGTTTTCAGCCAGTCACTGCAGTAACAGAAAGACCTGCAACATTAACAGTTCCCACAGTGCCACATTAGTGCATGACTGTTCTGTAATGCCCATTTGTATCCAACACTGCTGCAGTTCAGTGGCTCCTCTAATATGACATGAGACTTGGATAACAGACTACTTCAGTCACACTTCAGGTTCACAAGTGGTGCAACTTCTCTTTATGCATTGTTTGAAAATATATCGGGACAAACTTCATGTTTGCAATCACTCAAAACATAGTCACGATTAATTTGCAGCCTGAGTTTTACTGAGATTTCTAGAGTCCTTTAAGATGATGAGGAGAAGCCAGCCAGTTCTAAAAGGCACGTTTGTCTACCATAACTTGTAGCAGAGTGTGCATAATCTGTAGTGCTTGAAGAAGCTTTCCTTTTGTAGTCTGAATAGTTGCTCATAAAGAAAGTCTGACTGATAACTGGGCAGGCTTAAAGAGAAATTTGTAATTTACTTATAGTCAACTCTCAATTGGAAGTGGCTCACACAGTGCTAGGACCGATATCCCACCAAAAAGTCCATACTGATCTACAGTAGCTGGGCACAATTGTTTCAATTCATGTTTTTTAAATGATAACTTGTTTCTTGCAAGGAATGTAACTTCATCTGAATCCAAAGTCTGCATTCAGCTAGAGAGAATAAACAGGCATAACGTTGCCACAGAAACATTATGCTAAGGAGATTTGGACTTGATCTACAGTTCACAGAAAAGCCAGTCTTTCTTTTTAAATGCTGCAGCCAGTCAGCAAGCACTGCTTCCAAAGATGCATTTAAGTAAGAGCCAGCATGAAGCACTTATACTTCCCATTTACTCTTCCACCTGCACTGCTTTTTCTCCACAACCAGTCATAAAACCTCCTATGTGTTCCCAAATGCTGGCACCTTATCCCTGCACAGGTCCGGTGTTTCCTTGGAAAGGCTCACTGTCTGCCCATTTGTTTTAAAGCTGGTAATTAGCAGGAACACACTTATTTCACCATGAATGTATATCAGAGAGCAATAAAGGGCTGGGAATAGGAAATCCTTTTCTCATTGCCATTCTCTTCTAGTATGGGATTAAAACATTAACATTCTCAGACGCTGAAAAATACGGCAACAATTTCTGGAAACACCAGTAAATAAAGACAATTTACTGCAACAAGATTTGTTGGCAACACAACACACTGGCAAAATTCTGGCAGTTTACCATTTATTCACTATTTCCTGAATTTCACTATGGTTAATGGGATGCAACCTATATGGCCTGTGGGATGATTTCTCTTCATTTTTTCCTAGAGCCTTCATTAAATATAGTCAGTCACAAGGAAAGTAGAAGTTTCATGCAATTTTATGAAGATTTTCTACAAATCATACTATTTCAAATGCAATAATAAAGAAATTGCATAGTTCACTTATTATTAACCAACATACTAAATTATATATATTTATTCTAAATGTGAAAAATGTTCTTGTCTTTCTGTATAACCCTGACACATTTAATTGTTAGAACTTCCTAGAACTTCACTATAATGTTATATAGTTGATTTTTACCTTTAGCTTTCCTGTTTCTATTCTCTATTCCTTTTACTGTGATGTGGCATTTCACTGTAAACAAAATCCTAAAATTATTACTCATGAATTTATCACTAAACATAGTCCACGTGTCTAGGAAAAGTTCAGGTATGTTCTTGTTTCCAGGACACAACTGAGGCAAAGAAGTATTGGTACATTCATGGAATCACATACAGGTTACCATACATTTCTTATAAATGTCAGAACATGCACCCATGAGTATATACACAGCATAGTATGTATATTCTGTCACCCATGGTGACAGAATAATTTACATAGCACTGAAAGTTTTATCCCTAAGGTCTAGTCTGACACTCTACACAAAAAAAAAGGAAAGAGAAAAATGGCAGACATGGTATGTTGTCAGACATTCCAGCATCTGCTGACTGCAAACATTAATTTGTGATGCTTTGTTTTTGTACAGCAAGTGTGCATTACTTTTGTCTGAAGGTAAAGGTTTAATTTTTAAGTCACATTTCCAGGATGAAAGAATAAGAAATGCATGTCTGTGTCCTTCATCTTTTGGGTTTTCCCCCATCCCTGCAATACTGATTTAAAACATGTGAGTGAGCCCAAGTGTTCCCCACTGAGCAAATGTATCAGGTTTTAATAAATAAATAAATAAATAAATAAATAAATAACACAAACACACACGAATAGTACAAGTACACTTAAGTATGAATATACCAGAGCCTTGTAGAAGACTCTGTAGGATGTCCCTGCTCTCACTGTCCTCTTCACAAGCCACTCTTTTTGGCAAGGGCCTAAACATTTCTCCAGTCTAAAGATGCAGCTCTACAGTAGAAACCCACTTTAGTGAGTGGTCAACCAGTGAAAAAAAAAAGAAACCAAAGAGGAAAGTGTTACAGCAGCTGTATCAAGCCAATTTTGAGCAGGAAAGAAATTCAGCCAGAATATATATTTTTTAATGAGGTGCTTTGTGACTGTATCAGTCTCTTGGAAGCCTGACACTATGGTAGGGAACAGACTGCAAACCTTTGTGTCAAACCAGTATTTGACATGCAGAAGCAAGACTTGAGAGCCTGAAAATTCCTTTCCATAAGCAAGATATGAAACTGGTGCCCCAGGCAGGGCTGGAGAATATCAGGTGCCTGCAGAGACCAGGCAGGATGCACAAAGGCCAAGAATCATCTGCTCTCCCATTCTCATCCAGTAGCGGGAAAACTGGCTGCATTTTACTACTTTTAGAAGTCATTTTATGCCAAACAGCTCTATCTCTGCTAACATGCTAGGGGGAGGAAGCATATGCATTGCTGTATGGCTTGGAAAGGAGTCTGTTGTAGAGCGATTTTTCAGACTGTGGAGCAGCACAAAGGCAAGCAGAGTGCAAACTGACCTTAAAAAGCAGTGAAATCTTCCTTTTTGGTTTTAATCGCCCTTGTACCCAAACAGAACCTATTCCAGGAATTGGATTTATCCCTAGAAGTGGTGACTGTAAACAGATGTTCTTTTGGCAGTCCCTAATTACTGTCTAACTGAGGGATTCTGGACTGACAAATGCATCATATGAACATGCTCAGCACAGTACCTAAAACCCTTCTTTGCTTTAGCTACAAATTGGAAGGAGCTTCATCAAAGATTCAGAGTTTTTCATTATATGCTGGATAGTCAGCCTAATGAGACTTCCACATGCTTTTACAGATTTTATTCAAGGATATGATGCTACTGAGTTGTACACTGAATTGTCCCAGAAATATGAGTGCTGCATATGTATGGTTTTTTGCACATAAGAAAAATGTACAGACAAAAAAGCTTGTACGTAGCATGCACATTTTTAGTCACCAACTAGCAACATCCTTAAACCTTTAAAGTTGTCTTGCTTCTGTGGAGCAGATCGTGGCAATCCATGAAGAAAGATGTGAAACTAATGGAAAGGGATTCATTGCTAATGAAGAAAAGTTATGAAGATGGGCTGAAAACCCATGATGCAAGTTAAGGTATAGCTTAAAAAATGCTCAGTTCTCATGGACCTCTACAAAAGCTGTACTCTCAGAGATCTTGTAGAGCTTGGATTGCAGTCTGAAATTCACTGTAATCCCTAAGATATAATCTAAAATGAAATTTGAGAAAACTCATGAAGTGAATGCTGAATATCTGCATCCATAATCTAGAATTAAGCATTACACCATATTTACTCATCTCTGCTTAGAAACGGTTAGAATAATAAATAAATAATAAAAAACCAAGCCTTGCTACCATCTTTTTAAAAAAAAGTCTCAAAAACTTTCAATGATGTTGAGAATTAGTACATTTAATCTGCCATGCTTACAGATCCCACATCCTTCACAACATTTTCTGCAGAATCCCATCTAAGTAAAGGGGGAAAAAATTAAAGTTCATTATAATTTCACTGCTAATATTCAACTACGCTCATACATAGTATCTTCCCTCTGAAGTTAGGGATTTAAGAGCTAGTTTTCCACATTGTCCAAAACCAGTCACTGCCTAGAAATCTTTGTCATTTGTTTGAGGTAGACAAATCTAAGGTTCATGTCAGAAGGAACTCCTGGGAGTTCCTCTAGGACAACACAAAATACTGAGTCACTAAATTTTGCTCATCCTATGCAACTGTCTCTTTTCTCTTGGCCTACAATCTGTTATAATAATAAGGACCCTGATTTGGAAGCAGTAAGAAAAGATCCTTATATTATTCTACCACGAATGCTGGTGAAAGTAAAATGAAGGTACCGAGGTGAGATTGAACTCATGTCTTAAGATTTCATGACTTTTCTGGTGGGAATCAACCTCCCCATATATAAATAAAATGCTACGAATAAAAATCACCAGAGTTACATTTTTGTTTATTCCTGACAGCAATACTCAGAGCCGGTGACTCCAGTAACTGTGCTTTGCATGGAAGACTTCACACAACTGGCTGCTCTTGAACCCCCCAAACACGAAGGAGCCAGAAAAAAAGCAGCTGAGGCTCTAAAACCAGCACCGTTGCCAACTTCAATCTAGTCGGTGTGCCCAAAGTGCAGCAGAATTTCTTGCAGCTAACCACTTGTGGGAAAAATTCCGCTTTTAAATTTAGAAAGCCGGCAAAAACTCATGAAACAGAAGAAAGAATTTTTCAGCGTGCTGGGTCTGGTCTTACACTGAGTTTTTCGGGGAGAAAGACCCTTTGGAATTAAATTCCATACATTTTATAGTTTCACAAAATCCCACCCTTTTCAGATAAGTTTAATATATTCATTTTTGCCTAAAAAGGTTTCTTTTCTCTGAAAAAGAGGCTTTCCCTTCCTTCTGATTGGCTGCGAGGCGTCCTCTGTCAAAAATGATGGATCTTCCTTTGTTCTTAGCCCAAAGAGGGAGAAGAAACCCCTGCGTACAAAACTGCCACATGGCCCTGAAAGATTTTAATTTTTAAGAACTTTTATATTTCCCTTATCCGGCCAAAAAAGACCCTGACACCCAGTCCCATTTGGAACTTCGATATCTTACAACTTCGCAATACACCTATATGTATAAAAAATCGTATTTTATCTCTCATAACTTATTGGCTGAATTATACATATTTTATAGAGCACCTAAATGGCCCCAAAGAGGCCAGGGCAGTGGTGGGATCGCTCCCTTCCAGCCTGACCTCCCGGTCTGTAACCAAGAGGGCTCCACAAGCACATTCCCCTGCACTGCAGGTGGCATTTCCACACATACATGAACTCTTTCACAGCCAGAAATTGATTGTCCCCTCTAATTTCCTGCTCCACAAGGATGGTGACATGCAACCATACAGCCAGGGAAGGAACAGCCTAAGTGAGACTGAGTGGAACTGCTGAGGAGAGTGTCAGTGCTAATCCAACCGGAGGGATACCTGGCACACATCACTGCCCCTCAGGGCTTCGCTGCTCCCAGGGAAAGCAATCACAGCATTGATTAGCTGAAGAGGCTTCCTATTGGTATTTAAACTGGTGGGTAATGACTACAAGTAACATCAGGGCCACAAAAAACTATAAAAACATCCAGAGATGCTGCAGCTACTTTTCCAGCAGACAGCCTGGCACTAAGCTGTTCTAGGCTTTTCCTGGAAAGTTGCTTTAAGAGCCATCTATAGCAAAAGCAAGAACTTCTGATTTTCAAACCACAGTTACAATTGAGTCATGGCCACTCTTACAGACACTTGTCATCTCTTGAAGAAAGATTCCTAGAGTTTAAAATTAAAATGATTGCAAGAGAAGTATAATAAGTAAATGAACAGATCCAAATTAAAATCTAACTATAATTTCAGAATAAATGAGTTTTACTTTTTAAATAATTAAATAAGCATGAGAACTTTATAAGCATAATATATATATGTTATATCAGTTATACAAACATATAAGCATGACAACTTCATAAACTATCAGTCAGAAATGGTTTCTCTTGCTAGGTTTTCATGCAATAGCAATAATACAACTGCCTGTAATATCAAACTGAAACAGTAAATTGAAGGTGTGGTTATGGATTTGGGAAATACAGGAAATTTTAGAGTCAATAGTACCACCTGCTGGATATCATGAAGATAAGAGTCAGAGACTAATCCACATTTATAAAAGTTATGGCATAATTCGATACTTACAAAAATGTCACCATAACTAAACTGTTACAAATGAATAGACAACAAATTGCCAGATGTTCTAATGCACTGCCAAAATCCTGCAGAAAGGTCACTGATATTTTCAATAGGTATTTCTTGTTAATTCAAAACTCACTACATACAATTCATCAGATGAATTTTTTTAAAAAAATAAATAAATAAATCAAACCAATCAGCCTAGCAGCCCCATTTAAAAGAAACGTGCTACTACTGTTAATGACAATGTTAAGTGCGGGGTTTGGTGAGGTTTTTTAAGTTAATTACATAACTAATGTGTTATTCCACTACAATATTTTTTGGCAGGGTGGAAGAAGAGGACAAAAATGCCCTCAAACCACTAAAAGAAACACACACACACACCCCCATCATCTGCTACTATTGAGCTACCAGACATTAACAATCTGGGGATATCCCAAAAAAAGCAGCTAGTAAAGGACCTCAAACTAAGTGACTTCTTACTTCAGCAACAGAATCATCAGCCTTGAAAACCATCAGTGACAACCTGTAAGCCCTTTGATACAGAACACGAAGTTGTTACTATGTTTCCTGCTACTTCTCAATTCACAACTTTCTGACTCTGTTGTGTAGTCACATTAAAAGAACCGAGGTTTTTCCCGAACGACTCACCTTTTCAGTTACGTGTCTGATCAGGTCACACTTCCCTCAGAAAGCTATGCTCTCTTTCTGCATGCAGAGTTCTGTCCAAGCAAGTTCTGTCAATCTTCTTCTAAATCTTAACACATCCAACAGTGGACTTGCATCCAACAGTTCTAATCTGAAGCCTGACAAATACTGAGCACTTCAAGTTCCACAAAACAATGGAACCTCGATACTCTAAAAATAAATAACATTTTTAAAAAATGCTTTCATTACAAAGCAGAAAGTTAATTCCTAACACTACACTGTGGAGCAGGAAAGTTGTAGCACTTCCACTGCAGCTCCCAGGACGACACAACACAGCCAAGCTGCTCTGCTGAGCTTTTGTGCCCACCTGCACACAATCTCAGTCTCATTAGCAAGGGACGGGCAGCAGGTGAGCCTCCTTCTGCTCCCCCTTCCAGCACACCTCATCAGTCTCCCACTATGCCAGTGAGACTTTCAATGGCCAGAAATCCCAGGTCAGTGTTGTGGTTTGTGTGAAGTACTTAGTTCAACAATGCAGTAACCCCCTCTGATGACCTGACAGGCTTGAGAGGTGTGTCTGCGGGAGCCCCAGGAAGTTCAAGGCCGGGTGCAAGGAGCTGCACATGGATCGAGCCAATCCCAAGCACAAATACAGGCTAGGCAAGGAATGGATTGAGAGTAGTCCTCAAGAGAAGGACTTGGAGGTGAGAAGCCCAACATGACTTGGCAATGCTCACTTGCAACCCAGAAAGCCAACTGGGCTGCATGAAAAGCAGTGTGACCAGCAGGCCGAGGGAGGTGATTCTCTTCCACTACTCTGCTCTCGTGAGACCCCACTGCATCCAGCTCTGGGAGCCCAACATATGAAGGACCTGTTGGAACAAGTCCAGAGGAGACCACGAAGACCTTCAGGGTGCTGGAGCATCTCTGCTACACAGACAGGTTGAGAGAGTTGGTGTGGATCAGCCTAGAGAAGAGAAGCTCCAGGGAGACCTTAGAGCCCCTTCCAGTACCTCAAGGGGGCATACAAGAGAGCTGGAGAGGTTTACAAGGACATGCTTGTGAAATGGCTTTAAACTGAAAGAGGGTAGATTTAGATCAGATATTAAGAGGAGGGTGGTGAGGCAGTGACAGAGGTTGCCCAGAGAAGCTGTGGGTGCCTCATCCCTGGAAATGTCCAAGCCCAGGCTGGATGGGGCTTTGAACAACCTGGTCTAGTGGAAGGTGTTCCTGCCAATGACAGGGGCTTTGGAAACCAGATGGTCTTTAAGATCACTTCCAACCTTAACCACGCTATGATTCTACACAAACTACATGATTCTATGCCTAATTACAGCTGCAGGGAACAAACACAGAAACTTAAATTTGTACTTTACAGTAATGTATGACATCATAGGCTCATGGAATAAATGGCGGGACAAGAACAGAGGTGCAAAAATATACACCTTGTTCAAAATCACAAAGGCAGACAAGAAGCTGGGTAGACATTGCATGGTGGTTTATGGAGAATACATATTACAGTCTCCATGTAGCCCTTGGGAACGGGTGCATGCTCCAACACTCAAATTCAGGAAATGCTGTTGAACAGGGTAATGCTGGAGTTGTTTTTTTCTTTTCTTTAAGAAAAAGAGGGAGAAATAGCAGAAGAGGCAGTGTCATGTGAAAGGTGGGAGTTCAGATTTTTGATCGTTGGTCCCCCAGGAAAGTTGAGACCCTGGTGTTCGACAGTCTGTCAACACCTTGTAAGGAGACCCTTCACCAACAGATTCACAAGTTCAGAGGGGACCTTGGCCTCCCTTGTTAGGGGGAACTCAACAGAGCCAGAACTGCTCAGCGGGTCCTGCCAAGGTGTTTTCTGCTGCTGGCAACCACAAGGACTCACTTTAACAGTTTATGGAATAATCCTTTTTATTAATACAAATTGTGACGGGTTAATAAGGTTCAATGGTTGTCAGTGATAGTACCTACTGCAAAAATATGTTTTAAAGCAAGCTACTGATACACATATTACACAAGCACAAGCTCTGATACAAAGCAATCTAATTAATATGGTATGGGGTAAGCACAAGCAAAAGCTCTAGTCCTAAGAGCAGCATTTAATGCACTTAGATTATGTTTCTCACCCAAGGCATCCCTCTGGGAGGGGGAAGGATGGACTCAGCCCATAGACTGATGCCAGCAGTTTCAGTGGAGATCTTCTCCAACTTTCCCTCTATCCCCAATTTACTTTTATACTATTTGCTTTATGTTTGGGTGGAGTTTGAGTGGCTCTAGTCATAAATACCTTTTATTTCTGATTGGTGTACCTAATGGGGGGGGGGGGGTCGTGGTTTGGCACCTGAGGAGGGGGTTCGACACGGTTGTTGGCTTCAGCAGCAGAACATCCTGATTCTCCCTAGTCACACAGGTACTGTACGGTCTCCGTACCGCAATGCTGTCCCATTCTGCTGGGATGAGAATGGAGAGGGGGCCACATAGTCTCCACTTCGTGCCACGCTCCGTTCTGTTCCTCTGAGCAATGTTTGTCGCTGTTTATGCTGGGAAGCACGCCGACCTCAGTCCGTCCAGGGAGCTGCAGCTGCTTGTTACCTTAGAATTCTGAACCCCTCTAGATTTAACTCCATCCATCATACCCACAGCCAGAAAGAGACACCACCGGGTGACAGCTACGCCGGCCCCCGCCAGCCCCGCTCCGGCAGCGCCGGGCGGGGAACGGGAGCACTGCCCGCCGCCAGCGGGCCCTGAGCCCGGCACCGGCTGGGAAATCAATCACACAGCGGGCCCTCTGCCGCCACAGAACGACCTCCTTTTAATTAACTCCCGCCGGGATCCCGCCGGGATCTCGCCCGGCCCGGCCCGGCCCCCGCGCCGGGCCCAGGGCGGGGCGGGCGCTGCCGCCGCGCGGGGCCGTGGGTGGGGCGCGGCCGCCTCCGCCGCGGGGCCTGCGGGCGGTCGGTCCCGCCATGGGGCAGTGCCTGCCCTGCCTGGGGGACGCCGCCAAGGACGCGGTGGAGACGCCCGACCCGGTGAGTGTGGGACCGAACCCCCCGAGCCTCTCTCTCTCTCGCCGTCCTCCTCCCGCCCGGTTGTTTACCGGTGCCGCCCAGCGCCGCGGGGGCGGTGACCTCCCCCCGCAACATGGCGGCCGCGCCGCGGGGCTGCCGGCAGCGCTCGCCGAAAAAAAAGGGTTTGTGGCGGCTGCTGCTGCAGCGGCTGTGCCGGGGAGAGGAAGCCCGGCCCTCGGCCCTCGGCCCTCGGCCCTCGGCCTGGGATGCGGAGAGCTGTGGGCCCGGGGCCGCCCGCTGGTGCTCTGACCCCCGGGCCGCGCCTGGGCGCCGGTGCGGGTGTGCGGAGACTGGTGGTGGGGGGGGTTGTTCGCGTGGAGGGTGTTTGTACATAATCTTGGCCAGTTCGACCCACATTTTAACGAGAAATGAGAAGGATTGGGCTTATTTCTTCAGTGCGTAGTGGTGCTCGCTTCTACCTGCCGTGCACCGGGTGGCGTTTGCTCTCGCTGGGTGGGTAAGAGCCCTCTTCTGAGCTCTCTGCCCCTCGGCTCAGGATGTCGTGGGGGAGAAGAAGGGGAGCCCCTCTGGCCTGGAAGAGCGAGCGTTCCCCTTTCCAGACTCCCGAAGGGATGCACGCTGCCTGCCTTCTCAGCCCAGCCTGGGTTTTTGGAGTGAATGCGTGATGCAGACAGGCTGAATAACGACTTCTGGTGGGGTTGGGCGGTAAATGTGCCAGCAGCTGCTCTTCTGGCACATTAGTCACGGAAAACACTTCGGTCTTGCCGACTGGCAGTGGAGGGAAGGATGATGCGAATTGACTTGAGGTTGACATTTAGTGGCAGTTCGCATTACAGATTTGAGTCATGCTTAAAAATTAAGACTTATTTAAGTGCACAGACTGTATTGGAATAGAATTTCACTGTCTTTAACATTTTATTTAGGAAATAAAAAGAAGACAGCTAGCAGAAGCTGCTGAAAAGAGGCAGATGGAGGTAACGTCTGATAAAATGCCATTTATTCAAATTACTTTTTATGGGGAAAACAGCTGGGACTTCTGTGGGCATACTGGATGTCATGTTTGGATTGTGGGATTTGTCACTAAATAATGTCCTAGTATTATTAATGTTTTTTATACCTTTTTGGATATATATTAAGAGTTTCACAACTAGGTAGATGCTCAAAGACCATTGCCAGGTAACTAAGTTTGTTTGGATGGGAGAAGTTTTATGGTAACTAAAAAAAACAACCTAAGAATTGAAAGTTCAAGTTCAACACTATTTTTTCCTCGTTCTGAGACTTCAAAACAAGAGACTGAGAAATATTTCAAACCAGAGCAGTCAAACAGTTGTTGGTACTTCTTAAAAAAATGCCAGTTATAGGCACTTGCAACTTCAGTTTATCAACATGGCAACAGTTTGAGCATGTTTATCAGCTCAAACTCCTGCAAAGACTTAGTATGAACTTACTCTCCTATATTTTTAGGTTGCTAAGCTTTAACTCCTTCAGTATCTTTAAAGTTAGAAGAGGTAGGATGCAAATGTTCTAGCAGACTATAAAACTAACCAGTCTGGTTTTTTTCCTTCCATACCTCCTAAAAAAAGCTTATAAATAAACTCTTTACTTATTGTAGATTTTGAATGGTGTATCTCAGAGACCGCAGCTGAACTGTGAAGAGAAATGAA